CTATAGGCTCCGAGCCTATGTAATCACTTTCAAAACAGAAAGTTTTTTCATGGATTCTATTTTTTTTCTGAGATAGATTTTCACTATGTTGCCCTCGGTAGAGTGCTGTGCTGTCACAGCTCACAGCAACCTCCAACTCTTGGGCTTAAGCAATTCTTCTTTTTTTTAATTGTTGGGGATTCATCAAGAGTATAAGAAACCAGGTCACACTGATTGCATTTGTTAGGTAAAGTCCCTTTTACAATCGTGTCTTGCCCCCCAAAGGTGTGGCACACACCAAGACTCCACCCTCCTCCCTCCTTTCTCTCTCTGCTCTCCCCTTCCCCTACCCCTACCATTTCATTAACTGTCATTAATTGACCTCATATCAAAATTGAGTACATAGGATTCATGCTTCTCCATTGTTGTAATGCTTTACACATTAATAGTAAATAGTAATGCTATTTACTAAAATAATATGTTCCATTTCCATCCAGGTTAAAACAAAGGCTGTAAAGTCTCCAGCTTAAGCAATTCTTTTGCCTCAGCCTCAGCAGTTGTCATTGTTATTTGGCAGGCCTGGGCTAGGTTCGAACCCACCAGCTCCAATGTATGTGGCTGGCGCCCTAGCTGCTGAGCTATGGGCGCCGAGCCATGGGTCCTGTTTTTTTTTTGAGACAGAGCCTCAAGCCTCGCCATCACCCTGGGTAGAGCACAGTGGCATCACACCTCACAACAACCTCCAGCTCCTGGGCTCAAGCGATTCTTCTGCCTCTGCCTCCCAAGTAGCTGGGACTATAGGCACCCACCACAACGCCTGGCTATTTTTTGGTTGCAGCCATCATTGTTGTTTGGCAGGCCTGAGCTAGATTTGAACCCGCAATGCAGGTGTATGTGGCTGGCGCCTTAGCTGCTTGAGCCACAGGCACCAAGCCTGGGTCCTGTTTTTTAATGTCCATTAAGGAAGCATTTGAGTGATTCTTCAAACTCTTACTTTTATTTCAGCACTGAAGTATCCACTAAATGAATGGAACCATGTGTGTAAATTCACATAAAAATGTTCTCACTATGTTCCATTAGTAAAGCAACCAAAGTGAAATATTTCAGCTATTGTTAGGTTTCCCAAACACAGATGATCCAAAGAACATATGGGCACAATAGCTGGGACTCACTTGACTAAGTCGATCTTGCAAGATAGTGGCTATCTGAACTCTGGTGTAAGGTGGAAAATTCAACAGCCGTGGTTTACATTTTCCTCTAGCTTGAAGCCTAGGCAGGAGTCTGTCTGTTAGATCCAGGGTATTAGCAATACCTGAGGGGGAAATTAAATAACACTAATCACGATTAGTCAAATAAGACCAAAGAGAAAACGCTGAAAGCTAATTAAAATTTTGTTATAATACATCATTTCTTCTTTTTTTTTTTTTTTTTTTGAGACAGAGCCTCAAGCTGTCACCTTGGGTAGAGTGCCGTGGCATCACAGCTCACAATAACCTCCAACTCCTGGGCTTAAGCGATTCTCTTGCCTCAGCCTCCCAAGTAGCTGGGTCTACAGGTGCCCGCCACAATGCCCAGCTATTTTTTGATTGCCCGGGCTGGATTCGAACCCATCAGCTCTGGTGTATGTGGCTGGCAACTTAACCGCTTGAGCTACAGGCTCCGAGCTTATAATACATCATTTCAATTGTTGCTTCCCATTTGCCCTTAGCCTACCCCACTATTGAGAAGGTAAACCAGGCTGGGTGCAGTGGCTCACCCTTGTAATCCTAGCACTCTGGGAGGATGAGTAGGGGATTCCTTGAGCTCAGGAGTTTGAGACCAGTCTGACCAAGAAAGAGTGAGACCCCATCACTAATGAAAATAGAAAATATGTGCTGAGTGTGGTGGCACCCACTTGTAGCCAGCTACTGCGGAGGCTGAGGCAAGAGCATTGCTTGGGTCCAAGAGTTTGAGGCTTTTGTGAGTTATGATGATGCCACAGCACTCTAGCCAAAGCAACAGAATGAGACGGTCTCAAAAGAAAAAAAAAAAAAAAAAAGATATATCTATTAGGTAAAATAACAGAGTCATTATAGAATGTTCTTTTCAAGTTAGGCTTAGAATTGTGGATTGATATGAAGGATCAGATATTCCAAAAATCTATTATATGTGAAATGCATTATTATGTCACTTTATTTAGACTTAACAAAATAGATTTGCCTTAGATTAAAATTATTACCTTGTATTAATTTTCTTATTTTGATAAGACAGAAAGCTTAAGTATTACATAAAATGATAAGTAAGCTGAAAAATTAAAACAATGAAAAAGAAATATTTATTTTATTTTTTTTGAGACAGTCTTACTTTGTCACCCTCAGTAGGGTGCCGGGGGTGAGCTCACAGCAACCTCAAACTCTTGGGCTCAAGCGATTCTCTTATCTCAGCCTCCCGAGTAGGTGGGACTACAGGCACTTGCCACAATGCTCACCTATTTTTTAGAGACAGGATCTCGCACTTGCTCAGGCTGGTCTCACACCTGTGAGCTCAGGCAATCCACCTGCCTTGGCCTCCTAGAATGCTAGGACTATAGGCGTGAGCCACAGCACCTGGCCTAGAACTCTTTAGAACTATCATGTAATACTAACAATTGAGTACTAACCAATTAGCACCAATCGGGAGTTGCTTAGCCATGGCCATTCAAACAGTGTGTACAATACATCCTGCCCTTTGCTGTCCAGTTGATCCATCTCATCCAACACCAACACACTGCATACAAAGAGAAACAATTAGTATCCACGTTCACCTGTCTTAACCCTCTAATCAGTTTGATCTGGGCTGACTTTAGGTCACATTGCTAAAGATGAGACTAGCCTAAAGATCATAATTTATCCTATCTCTAGTCACTTTTTACAAGTATACCCCCCATCATGAACAAGTAACACCCAGATGTTTTCAAGCAATTAGTTAAAAAACCCTTCTTCCAATTTAAAATTAGAAGGTGTATTTTTTTTCTTCCCCTGTTACGTATGTGTAACCACCCCTCATATAGCAAATATAGGGAATGTTCTCTTTGTGGGCAACAGACTTTACAGATTTTCACAGAGCAACATGCCGCAGAGAAATACTTACATCATGGGGCCCTTCTCTGCAGTCATGTGTTTTTCCAATTTTCTCATCATGTCCTTCCCAGCTGGCTTGGATACTTCTTCCTGACAAATCTCCTGAGCAATAGCTGGGAATACAGCCTGGGCACTTCTCAAGGACATGCAATTCAGCATGATAGTTTTAAAGCCTTTTAGTTCCTTCTAGAAAAAAAATGCAAACATGGGAGTTATTTTGTCCTCTCATAAACATTTGAGGAGCTAATAGCATATATGAGAGGAGGGAGTTCTATTTTCATTTGAAAAGATTTAGATAATGAAACTACAAATGTCTTATTTTAAGGAAACCTTCCATCTCCTGAACTTCAACTTTTTCTTAACCCTTAAAATCTAAGTGTCGCCTATCGACCCATGAATGGATTAACAAATTATGGTATATGTATACCACAGAATACTATGCAGCCATAAAAAAAGATGGAGACTTCACATCTTTTATGTTTACCTGGATGGAGCTGGAACATATTCTTAGTAAAGTATCTCAAGATTGGAAAAAAAAAAGTATCCAGTGTACTCAATACTACTATGAAATCAATATATAACTACCTACACACTCATAAAAATAGCAAAACATAACTATAGTCCAAAAGTAGAAGGGAAGAGGAGAGAGAGGGGAGGGGGAACATGGGAGGAGGGAGGGTATGGGGGGCGGGGGGGAGAACCTCACCTCATGTGCATGATACAATGGTATATTTCAAAACTATTAAGTAATGAAGGGGTGGCGCCTGTGGCTCAAAGGAGTAGGGCACAAGCCCCATATGCCAGAGGTGGTGGGTTCAAACCCAGCCCCGGCCAAAAACTGCAAAAAATAAAATGAAATAAAATAAAAAAATGAGTATAATCGTGATGGATATGTTACTTAGTTCAATGTAAGCATTTCATATTGTATATTGAAGTAGTACCCTAAGCCCCATAAATGAATCAATGTACAAAGTTATGACTTAATAAAAAACTGTTAAAAAAAAAAAAATCCAGGGCCGTGCCTATAGCTCAAAGGGGTAGGGCGCTGGCCCCACATGCTGGACGTGGCAGGTTCAAACCCAGCCCTGGCCAAGAATTGCAAAAAAAAAAAAAAAAAAAAAAGAAATCAGTGTAATTTTGATTGATGTATTACTTAGCTCAATGTAAGCATTTCATATTGTATATTGAAACAGTACCCTGAACCCCATAAATGCATCAATGTACAAAGTTATGATTTAATGAAAAACAATTTAAAAAATCCAAGTGTCATTTTAGCAAGAGTATCATAATTCAGATTCCCAAGATACCTTGAGGTCTTGCAGAATTCGGCTTAAGCAGGCAGTTTTTCCAGTTCCAGGAGCACCAGAAAGGTAAAGACTTCCAGCTTTTTTCCCACAGATGTGTTCCCTCAGGAAATTTCTGATGACATTCATCTCCTTTTCCCTGGCAGGCAGCCGATCTGGGACAGCTGTATTCAGGACCAGCTTTGTTTGCTGGTAGCAAGTGCCTGTGCCAGATATAAAAGGTCAATTAGACACAACAGAAGGTAACTGAGAGGACCCACTGGGTTTCATTTGTAGTTATCAGCCTTGTGTATAATGGCTGCACTAATAGCTGCTAAGTAAAAACAAACCTTCTTGCTTGAACAGTCTCATACATGCAGATTCTTTCTCCTGTGGACACTTTTGCTCAGACTTTATTGTGCTCTCATGACTCTTTTGAACTGAGGAAGGTATTTTGTTTTGGTGAACTCTAGCTTGTTCTCTTTTTCTAGGAGATTTAACTGTCAGCTGATTGTCAAATACCAATCTTCGTCCCTTAGGTGTACGTGAGCGAGGGGGACCATTCTCTTTCTTGCCTTGCTTTGGTGGAGAACAGGGAGATAAACGAGGAGTGTTGCACAGGTTGTCATCACCTAAAACATATTGAAATCAAAACATAGTCATTAATAACAGAGGATAGCAAAAGGACTTGAAAAGACTTCTGCCTTTCCTAGAAAGAGGTGGATTTGGATCTGGTCAGAACCACCAAAATAAAATGCTTTCTCAAGTAGAATCAAATATTGACCACCAGATGGCACCACTGATCTTAACAAAGTATCCCTCCCTTATCCCTGGTTTTGCCTTCCATAGTTTCAGTTGCCCAAGGTCTGAAAATAGTAAATGAAAAATTTCAGAAATAAAAAATTCCTAAGTTTCAAATTGTGAGCTCTTGAGTAGTATGATGAAATCTTGCACCATCCCGCCTGGGACACAAATCATCCCTTTGTCCAGCATATCCACGCTATATATGTTACTCCCCCATTAGTTACTTGGTAGTTGACTTAGTTATCAGATCAAAAAACATTTCATATACATATACACACATATATATATGGTTTGGTACTATAAGATTTCAGACATTGGCTGGGGGTCTTGGAATATATCCCCCATGGATAAGAAGTTGCTACTGTATTTGGTAGAAACCAAATGAGTTTTTTTTGAGACAGAGCCTCAAGCTGTCCCCCTGGATAGAGTGCTGTGGCATCACAGCTCACAGCAACCTCCAACTCCTGGGCTCAAGTGAGTCTCTTGCCTCCGCCTCCCAAGTAGCTGGGACCACAGGCACCCACCACGCCTGGCTATTTTTTAGTTGCAGCTGTCACTGTTGTTTGGTGGGCCTGAGCTGGATTCGAACTCGCCATCTTAGGTGTATGTGGCTGGCGCCTTAGCCACTTGAGCCACAGGCACTGAGCCACCAAATGAGTTTTAGTAGGATGAAATTCTAAGATGGTTCTACAACAAGATTTCTCCATCTTGATACCATTGACATCTTGAACCAAATTGCCAGAGAGTTGTCCCGTGTACTGTAGGATGTTTAGCAGCACCGCTGGCCTTTAACCACTATGCTACTCTCTTAGCTGTGACAACAACAAAAATGTCTCCAGATACAGCCAAATCACCCCTCATTAAAAACAAATGCAATAAAACAAGAAAGAATTACCAAACATTGTTCTAAAACAAGAAAAGGACTAAAAATATAAAAATTATTACTGTGGCAAGTTTCATAATACTGTGTAACTGCAAGGTTATTTAAAACACTGACAGAGATCAGCCTGAGCAAGAGCGAGACCCTCCTGTCTCTACTAAAAATAGAAAAACTAGCTGGGTGTGGTGGCATATCCTTGAAGTCCCAGCAACTTAGGAAGCTGAGGCATGAAAATCACTTGAGCCCAAGAGTTTGAGGTTGCTATGATGCCACAGAATGCTAATCAGGGCAAAAAAATGAGACTCTGCATCCAAAAAAAAAAGAGAGAGAGAAAACACCAACAAAGAGACCATCCCGAGCAAAAGTGAGGCCCCGTCTCTACGAAAAATAGAAAAATTAGTCAGACATGGTGGCAAGGACCTGTAGTCCCAGCTACTAGGGAGGCTGAGACAAGAGATCACTTGAGCCCAGGAGTTTAAAGTTACTGTGAGCTAGGCTGAAGCCATCCACTCTGCCCAAAGTAACAGAATGAGTGAGACTCTGTCTCAAAAAAATAAAAATAAATAAAACAACAATAGAACTAAATTCAGAATTGAGGAATTGAAGAAAAGACCTATAAAGTAGTTCAGAAAGTAATCTTAATAACCCTGGAGTTCAGTAAACACTTAGCAAACATTCTGAAAATAACTAGAATGGGTTCAAATGAGTTTTGAAAGTTTCTCATAAGAGGATAAAAAAAGGTTAAGAGCTACTAGTGAAAAAGTTGTACTTATATAATGGATAGCTTACCCAGACGTTTTCTAGGGCTGAGAGGCAGATTTTTTAAATAAGGAGAACAGGGTATAGCCTGGACATTTGTCGGTACTAGTTTAGTGTCCAATATCCTAGACAGTTTCTTTTTTGGAAAACTGATTATAGCTTGTGCCTGGGATCGGGTTTGAGGCATGATGGCAACACAGCTGGATACAAAAAAGAATAGGACAGCCAGTCAATATGTAAAAGTGAAGAAAAACAACATGGAACTTAATATACAGATGATTGACACTCGTTTTGTAAGTAAATTATGTTAAAATAATATTCGAGCATTCGGTTCTGCTGTACACCCAAATCTGTGCAAGGATAGCTAACATTTGTAGTCTACCTACCGTGTGTAAGATACGGCTATAAGCACTTTACATATTAACTCATTTTAGTTTTACAACTATCTGAGAAGTAGGTTATTATCATTATCTTTACTTTACAGATGAGATGTAGGGAGGCCCAAAGTTACAGAAAAGCAGGGATATAACGCCAGGCATTCTGGTGCCAAAACCCAAGTTAACTACTTGAATGATGCAATAGAACGTTATCTGAATTGACTTCTATGGCACTTCTAATTCCCTCACTCCAGCATGTGGGGTACCCTTATCACTAGTTTAGGCCAGCAACCGCCACATTTACGGTCTCTCCCAAGCCCTCCCACTGCAGTTCGGTCGTCCCTCAGTTCCTCCCTCTGCCTATGCCCTTAGGGTCCCCTCTTTGCGGCTCTCAACCCCACCCCGGGGCATTCCTTCCTACAACTTTCAGCTCCTTCACACCATGCACAATTGCGCAAACTACTCTGAGGTCGCATAGGACCCTTCCCTGACCCAGATCTCAGACCTCCAGCATTCTCAGCTCTCTTCTCCGCCCTTCTCGGGTCTAGCGGAACCCGCAGACCTGGCCCCAGCCCTCACCCAACAGCACTGCCTCCCAGGCCCAAGCCCCCCTTAGTAACCCTCTCGTTTCCACCTTACAGGGCTGCCTCACCGAGTGCTGGTTCTTTCTCACGTCTCAAACACAGTCTCACAGACTTTCCACCAAAAGTTCCTGAAAAACCACACACCAGCAGCAACTAAACCCAACCGGGCTCGCGCCAAATCTGCACAGCTACAGAGTTTCCACTTCCCGCCAAAGCCCGGCCTCGTTTCTGATTGGCTGTCTCCACGCCGCCGTACTCCTTGGCCACCGCCCCTTGTTCCGCGTCCAATCCTGCTGGAAGACCCACAACCAATGAGAAAGCCCCAGGTCTCCGGGCCAAGGTGACGTCCTGCTCATTTCGGGGGGAAAAGACATGTACATCCGGGGCCTCCGCGGGAAGACGCGCTATTGAGGCTGGGAAGACTCTGGGTAAGACGGACCGACCCCGCCGCAAAGCCCGGCGGGAAGTGTAGTCTTTACCCCGCTGCGAGTCTATTTCTGCGCTCCTTTCCACTGGAGGAGCAAAATGTTGTTGCTTTACTCACAGCCAAACGCACCGTTTCATTCTCCTCATGGACTAGATTTTCAGAGAGCTACCACACAATGCCTACCATTTTGGGGGCGGTTGTTTGCGCCAGGTATGATGCTAGGCGCTTTACTTACCTCTAATACGCAACCCTCCAAGGCCCAAAGGCAGTATGTGCACAGGGTTAGAGGTCAGGTCTTCTGACACCTGAACCCGTGGGGATTTTTGTAAAGTTCTGCACACCTATGTAAAGAAAACAAACTAGGGTGGTGCCTGTGGCTCAACGGAGTAGGGCGCGGGCCCCATATGCCGAAGGTGGTGGGTTCAAACCTAGCCTCCCAAACTGCAAAACAAACAAACAAACCTCTATACGTTATCTCTTGATTTGTGCTTCAAAGGTGAGAAATAGGACTAACCCTTCGCCTTTATTTTGTTCAAGACATTATTATATTCTGTGCTTCTTACCATTAATCCAAACATTGTAGGGAAAAGAGAGAATTATGACCCCTTAATTTTAAAATGTTAGGGTTTCAGGGCCAGGAAGACAGCAGAAAAGGAAAGCTGAGCTTTTAATGAAAAATTATGAGTAGTAATTTGCAGGCTAGCTTCCAAAGCTAATAACCTATCTAATTCAGGTTCCTTTAAGGTCAGAACACAATTCTAGGTGATGGTAAACATTTATCTTTTATCCTCCAATATCAAATAAAACAGAGCCATAGGCGCGGCGCCCGTGGCTCAAGTGGCTAAGGTGCCAGCCACATACACCTAAGGTGGCGGGTTCAAATCCAGCCTGGGCCCACCAAACAACAATGATGGCTGCAACCAAAAAATAGCCAGGCATTGTGGCCGGCGCTTGTGGTCCCAGCTACTTAGGAGGCTGAGGCAGGAGACTCGCTTGAGCCCAGGAGTTGGAGGCTGCTGTAAGCTGATGCCACAGCACTCTACCCAGGAGAGAGCTTTTTTGAGGCTCTGTCTCAAACAACAACAACAACAAACAACAAAAAACAGAGCCATAAAGCCGAGAAACAGAAAAGCAAGTACTTAGTTCATATAGGTGCTAAGGGCCAATATTGAGTTACTAAGTGTATGCCAAGGACTGAGCTCCCTGTATGACTGACTAATCTTCACAAGCACCCCACAGAGTTAGTATTATTCTTATTATACAAACGAGAAAATCAAATTAGAGAGGTTGAATAAACTTGCCCAAGATCACACAACTATAATAGTAAAGGGGAAAGCTGGAATTTGAACTCCAAGGTCTGACAGAAAATCTAACTCTTGACCACTTAATCACAGGGGGATGATTAGACAGATGTAGGTTCTAAATAGGAAGAGACAGTGGAGTACATTTTGGGAAGGTTTTCTAGGAGCTGAAAATGAAGTGAACAGGCTATCATGAATGGAAGAAGAAGACAGAATACTTTTAGACCAGATGGTATTTCTAATCTCTTAATAGGACAATAGAAGCCAAGAAGCAACCTTACCTGTTCATATTTTTACAACCTGGGTGCCTAAAAATTGCCCTTAACAACCTGAAATGGTAATGCACCCAAGCCAGCTTTAAATGATGGTGGTGGTAAACAACCTACCAAAGTTACAGTGGGGATAAATAGAGCAGATACAGTATTGGAGCTTATGAAAGCACTCGCTAGAAAATATTGCACTGGCCCAAGAAAAGTCAAGCATTAAATGGCCACAGAGGAAGCAGGCAAAGAATCACAGAAATACAAGATTGAAAGGTCTCTAAATGGCTATCTACTTGAAGTTTTCCCTTTTCCCTAAGGATCCTCCAATAACATGATGTATACACCATCATACTGTTTCTCCTATCTGTGCTTTTGTTCTTGCTGTTACCTCTGGTTGGAATGCCACTCACCATCCTTATTCCCCGAGTAACTCCCACAATGCCTTTTAATATCCTGCATAGGCTTCTCCTGGATGATGTCCTAAAGCAGTTCTCAACCTTCCTAATGCTGCAACCCTTTAATACAGTTCCTCATGTTGTGGTGACCCCCAAACACAAAATTATTTTTGCTGCTACTTCCTAACTGTAATTTTGCTAATGTTATGAATCGTAAGTATCTGACATGCAGGAGACCCCCAAAGGGGTCACAACCCACAGGTTGAGAACTGCTGTACTAAAGTCTGTGAGCTCCTTGGAGGCACAGACCAGGTCGTATTCATCTTTGCAGTGTATTACAGAAGCCTGGTACAGAAGAAAGTGTGCAATAAATAAAGGGATGGAAAGGATATTCCTGCCAAATGGACATCCACCCTTAGCGTTAACTTCTTTTATGTGGTGGGATAGCATACAGTCCCTTAAATCTCACACCCCTACAACTAGGAGAGGAGAATGCATTCAATTATGTGTAAAAACAATACAAACTGGGATCCAGAGGTTTTTTTTTTTTTTTTTTTTGGAGACAGTCTCATCATGTCACCCTTGGTAGAATGCCATGGCATCACAGCTCATAGCAACCTCAAACTCTTGGGCTTAAGCAATTTTCTTGCCTTAGCCTCCCAAGTAGCTGGGACTACAGATGCCTGCTACAATGCCCAGCTATTTTTTTGTTGCAGTTGTCATTGTTGTTTAGCAGGCCTGGGCAGGGTTTGAACCTGCCTGCCTCGGTATGTGTGGCCAGTGCCCTAACCACTGAGCTATGAGTGCCAAGCCTAGGCTCCAGAGTTGTCAGAGGTGAAGCATTTCTCCAGTTATTCTCTGGGGTAGTCAGGATCCTGAAGTTGACATTTTTCTATTCTAGTTCATTTTTTATAGTTCTCTTACCTCTATCTGCAGAGTACATGGAAGTTGGAGACAAAAATCTTCCAGCAAATTGCTCAGTTCATGGCTGGATTGGCTCAGGATATACTTAAGAGGAATAGTTACAGAAAGCGGCTGTGCCTCAACAGTAAAGTGAGCAAATTAGTGTCCTTATCACCTGCTAACTCACAGTATCATGGAGGAGGACCAAATCACCCTGGAAAGACCTGTTTGGCATCTTCTACTTGAGAATGTGTGTTTGTTTGTGTATGCATGTACACACATAGACTGGCAAAACCATCCCAATAAGACAGAGAAAGCTTATAGGGTTAGCAAGTTAAGGGTCATTTAGGCAAGCTCCATTTGCAGGCTATTTAAAGTCAGGAGGAAAAATTAAATCAATAAATAGGTAGCTTTATTAATCATATTAATAACAATGATGGATCAAATAATCAGGGATTCAGCCAGTCTGGAAAAGTACGAATGAAAATGAAAGGAGTCTTCCCCCTCCCCCACAGAGTTTTATATCTAAATTATACGAGTGAGTCATATACACTCTCATTAAGAGTCAGTATGAGAAATAATTTCAAGACCTTTGCTAGTGATGGAAAATACAAGTTAAGCTCATTAAGCCTTAGTGGTTATTATGTCAGCTGACCACAGTAAGCACAGAATGTCTGGTTGAATTTTTACACCAAAGTCAAAGATCAAGAAAAACAACTAAGACTTCAACTTTTAAAAAGCAGTGAAGAAAAACAGCTAACACCCATATAAAAATAGATGCACAAAGTCTGTATGCTCTGCCCCCACCTTTTCTTCCATTCCTTAATTTGAGAACTTGCCACACAAGGTAGAAAGAATCGAGAGATATTAAGGAAAAGGACAGAAGGCCTCCTGGCCTCCTGAGTTCCCTGAAATCATGAGCAAAGGGGAGTTAGGTGGAAATATAAGGGCTGTCAAAATCTCTTGGTCAGCAAGGCTAACTAGAAATAATGATTTTTCAAGGCGAGGAGAGAAAATCTTCATGCAACTGCAGATGATTCTGCCCAAAGCAGAACATCTACTTTCTTGAGGGGACCTGAAATCACATCACTACATTTTACCCAGAAAATGAGGCAACAGATTTTCTACCCTCTCTAGGCCACCGGTTGAGGCTATATTCTAGACAAGAGTACACAGTTTTCAGTTTTTTGTTTTTGTTTTTAAGCAAGGTTTAATTAAACTTCACGGCATCCAGAAGAAAGAAATGTACCAAAGGATCCAACCTGAGACCAGATTATACATTTTAAAAGGAGAGGGAAAAAAAAAATCAATGCTATTTGGAAGGAGCATTGTAATCAGAATTCCAAAATAAATCTTACAATAAATTATTTTTTGGAAGGAAACCGATCTACATGCAGACAGATGAACACATACATACCCACATACACACACACAAGTGTCATTCTAGTCTTTTATTCAGTGTTGACTGTGACTTCCATGCTGGGGACGATGGAAAAGGACAACGGTGAGACATGAGAAAAGGCAGTGAGGCCCCTCTGCCAACCAGTGGAATGAGATTTAAGACAATGAAGAGAATGAACTCACTAAGTTGTCAGAAACAAGAGTAGAAAGAAGGAAACAGCAGTTATCAAGGAAGATTTTAATTGCTTCAAAGGAGAGAAGCAAGCATAGGAAACTAACACAAATAAAGGCACAATGAAGGTGGAGTTAAATGGAACCAAATCTTTCCTTCAGTTAAATGGTTATCCTTTTTTTTTTGCATATGGTTTTGAAGGTGGTTTTAAGAGATAAGTCTGGAAGGTAGAGCTATAATGGCCCTCCTCTCTCCCTTCACATTCCCAAAATTAGGGTGGCTTAACAGAAGGCTACTGTGACAACTTAACTAGGGGTTGAGATTCAACAGGAGAAAAAAAGACTACAATTGGAATGTGAAGAATCTGATCTGCAGTTGATCTCAGGTTGGGTTTCCAGTAGGACACAGCTCAGTGTTGTGACAAAGGGCCTCAGATGCCCTACACTCGACCCCCAGAGCGCAGAGGGAAGAACCCTGGACCATACTCCTCCCCCAGTCCCCTAAGCACCCAGCCTACAGATTATTTCAAGTGATCAGGAGAATTAAAACACACCCCAACCCTGAGTTGCTCTGTAGCAAGTCTATTTACAATTTTTTTTCTCATCTCTCCCTGGAGGTAAATCAGGATTTCAAGTTGGGAAGCCATGGGGTTTAAGAGATTCCCCCAGTGCAATGGCCAGTGACTCTGCCTGCTGGGAGAGCTGAGATGAATTCCTAGAGACAGCAGCCTCACATTCATCAGATGGGGTAGCCCTAGGCTCTCACTCTGCTGGCCGAGGCTGTGAAAATAATAGGGCACTGCAGCTGGAGCAAATCTCCATGACAGAGAAAACCACACCTGGAATATCAAAGTGCTGGTCCAGGTTTGGTGACTAGAGAAGAGAGGGAAGAGGGGCACCTAGCTCATTTAAAAACTTGGAGGCCACTGTCCTGCTTCCCAGACAGGGTAGTTAAGAAACAACTATTAAGTTTTTCCCTCTAGGAAAAAACATCACAAAACCAAACCCACATAAGGGCTTCCTGATGCTTAGTTGGGCAATGTCTCTTCCTTCCAGGAGGGGACAAGGGAGTTAATGGGACTGGGCAACAGCCTCAACATGAGACCACCCAATCTTCCACCGAAGAGACGACATTCCCACAAGCAAATAAGAAGAGCAGTTTAAAAGGTGAGTAGTTTTAGTGCTCTTGTAGCCAGCTCACCATAAACCTATATTATAAGCTTTTTACAACATACAAAATAGACCAGTAACTATGAGGATCACATTCTCATCTTCAATAGTAAATATACATGATAATATATCTAATATTAACAGTGGGACCAAATGTATAAGGCAAAGACATTTAAACAATGGCTGTGTCATTAACATGCTCTGAAGAAGGAAAACCCATCTGACTAGATCTAGACCTGGGCCTTTTTTCATGAGGCCAAGACAACAAATACAGACTCAATACCCATGTGACACAGTCCAAATGCTGGGGGTATGAGGGGCAGCAGGTTATGGGGAGGAAGATGTCAGCCCCAGTGAAAAGCTGGGGTTTGGCTTTACTTGTGATATTTGGATGCCCTATGTATGAGTAAGGGGTAGGGGGAGACACACTTTGATAACATGGTATAAAAGGCATCAACTCCCATTTCAAAAATAAATGGGAAGACTTCACAGTCAAAGTTCAGTAACTTGTCAGCATCTACCCTGGAACTCTGCTGCAGCATCAACTCTTGCCCCCTCTCCTTTCCCGTCCACTAGCATCCCCTCTTCAGCTCTATTCTCTTCAGTACAATGGGGATACTTTTGGGAGGTAACTGTTAACGGACTTGAAAAGAAGAATGATAAATAAAGCATGATTAGAAAAAGTTTGGTGACAGACCTAATCATGATTGTCTGAAAAATCAATGTGGTCCAGGGGATGGCAAAGGGCAGCAGACCCCATACAGATAACCCAAGCCAAGCCCTCCCTCACCTGGTACTGGGAAGACCTGGGTTTCACCTGGCACCATGCAGATCCTTAGCCTGTGACCCAGCAGATTTGAAAGATCCCAAAGGCAGTCTAAGCTTGTGATGCGTCTTTTGAAAATTTTAAACTAATTTTCTCCATCCATTTAAAAAAAATAGCATGTTCTCCCTGCTTTCATGCCAAGCTTTGCCTCTGCATGTGGCAATAGCTGTAGCAAACCAAAGCAGCTGGTGTGTCAAACTCAGGAGCTTCACCCTGCTGTCTTCTCATCCATCCTGAGTTCCTACCTAAACTAGGAACCTCCATTTTTTTTTTTGTGCTCTTTAACTAAGACCTGGAAGACAAAGAAACGACATATTGCTGGCTGCCAAGGAAGATCCGCTAGACTGAGGCACACCTCACCATCATCTTTGTGCTTCTTGACATACAGGATCTTTGAATATCCTCACAAGCTCTACTTACTTCCTTAGCCTTCTTTACTTCAGTGTGCTAACCCCTGCAGTCTTGGGAAGGCAAGAATGGTGGTGGAAAAAGGAAGAGTCTGCTCAGTCAGATCGGCTGTGAACTTCAGTATCAACAGACTAAGGTCCTCTGTAGCCCACAGAGCCAGGCCCTTCCACAAGGTGCCTCACCCTCCCCTTGTTTGTCTATTCTCCAGGGGCTAAAGGACTGAAAGAACTACTGACCATTTCAGGGCCAGTCAGCAAAGACTGAGGCAGACTCAAGTTTGAGGCTAAGGCCAAGGCCCTATCCTCCTCTCTCCCACCAAAGGATTTTGGGGTTTGTGAGTCAGGAATGAATCATGTTCCCACAAGTGACTTTTCTATTGAGGGCATGGGGAGTAAGGAGAGGAAAAATCCCTCAGCCTAGACCCCTGAGGAAATAGGGCAGGAAATCCCAAAGGACTCAAATGGCTCTGGTCCCTTTGCTGCAGAGGAACTGACTAGCTCTAAAATGATTCTCAGTTTATATCACCCTCTCTTTTTATTAAATGTTTAGTTCAACTGATTAGTTTTTAGTGTTTATGTCCAACTTATCCCTGGGGTGGGGAACAGGGGTGGGGTAGGATGAGAACAAAACCAAAATACCCCTAAAAATAAAGCACACCCATGTCCTTGCCCTTTCTCCGAATTTGACCTTTAAAACAGATCACTTCTCTCCAAACTCCTTTCCTGCTTCACTAAAAATGTTCCCTTCCCACTCAGAAGCCCTGGCCATGCTACCCTGCTAAATGATGAAATATAACAGACCCGCCAGGCTTCCCCTATAGAGGGGAGGAGGAGGAAGGAGTATCATATTGCCCTGCCCCAGCAATGAGTTAATTCATCACAACAAGGCACCTTTCCCCAAGAGGAAAGCAGGAGACACAGAAGCTTTTTCCTCATCTGGCTAGCAGGGCTTGGTAGAGGAAGGATGGATGCAGGGTTTGAGACCCCATATCAATATAAAGAGTCCGATCACCAAGTCCAGAGACGAGATGCATAGATGGAGATGAGCCGGGAGGATGCTTGGTGTCTAGGGTTGGTTGCACTGGAGAAACATGTTAGGAGCTCTCATGCAGGTTTCTGGGGGGAATGGAAGGGACCATCTGAGAAGAAAAGGTCCATCTTTTTCCTGAGGATCAGGACCAAGCCAAGCTTCACCTGAGAATGGGTGGCAGAGGTGGGGCTCCACGGGCAGCTGAAAAACAAAATAATTATCAAACACCCACAAGTCACCCACCAGACTCTAAAGAACCCAAGCAGTCCTGAAATGAGAGAAAGGCTCTTTAAGCTAAGCTTCAAAATCTGGGAACTAAATTTTGTTGTTTTGTTTTCATAAAAAAACGAAGATGAAGAGAAGCCAAAATAAAACAAACAAAAACAAATTGTACATTCTATGCAATTATGGAAAAACGTTTTTTTTGTTTGTTTAAGTCTTTTGCCCCTGGGTAGAGTGCCATTGCGTCACAGCTCACAGCAACCTTAAACTCTTAGGTCTCAAATGATCCTCTTGTTTCAGCCTCCCAATAGCTGGCACTATAAGCCCCTAACAGTATACCTGCCTAGTTTTTCTGTTTTTAGTGGAGACAGGGTCTTATTCTTCCTCAGGCTGGTTTTGAACTCCTGAGTCCAAGCAATCCACCCACCTTGGCCTCCCAGAGTGCTAGGAATACAAGCGTGAACTACTGAGCCCAGCCAAAACTTTCCTTACTACTATTCTCACCTCGGTTTGTTTTGCTGGGATATATTCTCTGAAAGTGTTTATATTCTTCTGGAGCAGGAAAGTCTTCTACTGGATGGAAGGAATACTTTGACTCAAAATCGTCTGAGAAAAAAACAGAATATTAATTTATATTACCGTTGTTTGTGCTACCACAGACTTCGGAGCCATTTATTACCCTCCCCCCTTACTAATTCTCTCATATAAAATCTGATGTACTGAGAGTGTCTGCCTCACCCACTAAACCAGGGATCTTGAGAACAGCAGTAGCATCATCTTATGTGTGCTGCATATGTAGAGAGTGTGTTCCAAGGCTCTCTATATTAAGGAGTGAGTCTTTGAGCTGATTCTTTAAACCTTTCCACTAAAAATCAGGCACATAACAGGAAAGGAGCCCAGCTGTTTGCATGGAAGCAGAAAGAGATGTAGTTCCATGTTTCTTTCTCCCTTTATTTTTTTGACAGAGTCTTACTTTGTTGCCCTTGGTAGAGTACTATCGCATCACAGCTCATGGCAACCTCAAACTCTTGGACTCAAGCCATCTTCCTGCCTCAGCCTTCCGAGTGGCTGGGACTACAGGTGCCTGCCACAACACTTGACTAGTTTTAGAGATGGGGTCTTACTCTAGCTCAGGCAGGTCTCTAACTCATGAGCTCAAGCAATCCACCTGCCTTAGCCTCCAAGAGTCCTAGGATTACAGGTGTGAGCCACCGTGGCCTGCCTAGATGTTTCAATAACATGGTCATCTTAGGGACTGTCACCATGTGAAACCAACTGAATCAAAGCCACAAATTGGTAAAAATTAATTTAACATGGTAATATTTAGCTCCAGCTAGTAAGAGATTTGACCAGGCAATTCTCTTTCTGTCCAGGTTTCCCTCACTTAGCTCTGCAACACAGTAGAGACAGGCATTTCATGGTCCCCACTTCCACTCTCTAGGGCCTCTCCACAAGAAGGTTCAGATTTTGTGCAAGTTTACCTTGATCACATTTCAAAGGTTTCTACAAAAAAGGCCATTGAGCAAAACTCCCAGTACATTAGGAATAGCGTGGAACATGGGAGATGGGGAAATAGGGGAGGTGAGCAACTATTAAAGAATCCAGAGTGCTAGGACTGCAAAGGACCTTACAGATCTATTCCAGGGGTCTTCAACACAGGGTCTAACAATATCCTCTGGACAACCTTTACTGATGGTTCCATTTCAGAACTAGTAAATCTGAATCTCCTGGATGGGAGCCCCAACATTTATAACCTTGGAAAAGTTAATCTGATATGCTTTTACTATAGCCAATCTCCTCGTTTTACAGATAAGGGGAGTGCAACCCAGAAAAGTAAAGTGACTTCCTCAAAACACAGCTAGTTAGTAGCTTTTAATTACCAGATAAATGTTATATAGTGTTTTGTTTTTGAACACCCAGAAAAGAACTCTCCTTCCTAAGAGGATACACGATTCCTCTCTGAATAGTCCTAAAGAGCAGAGAGTCTCTGACTTAAAAACTAACCACAAATAATGATCCTTTAGGGGCACAAGAGTGGCTTTAGAGTTAGCATCACACTTGCTGATTTTATTTCAATATTCCAAAACAACCATGCTTAGAATATGTACCAAGAAGGCCAGGCGAGGTGGCTCACACCTATAATCCTAGCACTCTGGGAGACTGAGGTGGGCAGATCACTTGAGCTCACAAGTACAAGACCAGCCCGAGCAAAAGCGAGACCCCATCCTAAAAAAATAGCTGGGCACTGTGGCAGGTGCCTATAGTCCCAGCTACATGGGAGGTTGAGGCAAGAGGATCGCTTTAGCCCAAGGATTTGAGTTTGAGGTTGATGTGAGCCATGGCACTCTACTGGGGTAACAGTGAGACTCTGTCTCAAAAAAAAAAAAAGGAATATGTATAATGAAAAGGATGCCTAACAGACATCCTTGAGACCTGAAATAAGTCAGGAAGGGAACTGCTATGAAGAAAGAGTACCTTTCAGCATTCCTACTCTACCCTGGCCACCTGTCAGCTAAGGCACTGGAATTAGTAAAGTTGACACAGGAATTATGAGACTAAACAGCTAGCTACTCACCCAAGAAAGATCGAACCGTGGTGATAGAATCTCTGTGGCCATTCCTCAAAGGTGGTGGTGGAGGAGGGGGTGGCCCCGCTGGCGTCCTTGAGGGTGGAGGTGGGGGCTTTCCTCGGCTCTGGGGTTCTGACCCATGCATTCGGTATGGTGGGGGTGGTGGGGGAGCATCTCTGGCACCATTTCGGATCATGGGTGGTGGGGGTGGAGGAGCTGCAAAGAAAACCCAAAGTAGTCAGGCCTGGATGTGGAGATGGCAAGGGCAGAGGGATTTGAGAGACATGCGCTAAAAGAGTACCTTGGTTCTTTCCCAAAGAACCAGGCTCTGTGAGCCTCTGGATGGCATGTTAAGTTTCATATTCACCTTTCCCCTGATCCTTATTTCTTGAATAACCTCACCAATCTTCCAAATGCCAAGGTTCAGAATAAATGTATAACCTTTTTTCATTTCCCACAGGTGAAGAACACTATTCTTGATTTTTTTTTCCTGCTTTCCCAAGCCTTCCTCCACAATTCTAATTCAGGTCTATCTCATATTTAGCCTGTTTTACTGCAAAAGCCTTCCAAATGTTCTTGCTTCCAATTCACTTTGCATACCACCAACTCACTAAGCTCTCTAAAAAACTTGCCCAGATTTTTTTTCAAGGGCATTGCATTTCCTACATTATAAAATCTCAAATCCTTTGCTTACTTAGTTAACCTACCATTTCAAACAGCCTGATCCCAACTTCTCTTCCTTTCTAAAAACCTACGCAGGGTTAGGCATCCCTCTTTTGCACATCCAACACACCACTACACTGTGTCACAATTATTCATTATATGTGCTTCTTCCCCAGAATCCTACATACATGTACTCCTTAATGTCAGAGCAGTTCCTTCACTGGGGATCCTAAGCTTGGCTAAAAGTACAGCATATGGCGGCACCTGTAGTTCTGTGGGTAGGGCGCTGGCCATATACACCCAGGCTGGTGGGTTCAAACTTGACCCAGGCCAGCTAAACAATGACAACTGCAACAAAAAAAATAACCGGGCATTGTGGCAGGCGCTGGTAGTCCCAGCTACTTGGGAGGCTAAAGCAAGTGAATCGCTTAAGCCCAAGAGTTTGAGGTTGCTGTGTGCTGTGATGCCATAGCACTTTAACATAGTGAGACTGTCTCAACAACAACAAAAAACCCCAAAAACACAAAAAACAAATATCCCAAAAGTACAGGATGTGGTAGGTGAATAGACCAAATTACGTATGTTTTGAGAATTTATTTTTTAATTTTTTTCCTTGAGACAAGTTCTTGCCCTGTCACCAGGGCTCCAGGGCATTGGAATCACCATAGTTCACTGCAACCTCAATTCCTGGCCTTCAGTGATCCTCCTGCCTCAGCCTCCCAAGTGTCTGGGACTACAGGTGCGAACCATTATGCCTAACTAACTTTTCTTACAGAGATCTCACTCTTCTTTGCTCAGCTGGTTTCAAACTCCTGGCCTTATGCAATCCTCCCACCTTACCCCCCTCAAAGTGCTAGGATTACAGATGTGAGCCACCATGCCCCACCCATAATGCTCTGTTCTTATGACTCCCCCCACTATACTCTTAATATTCCTCTTCTCCAATTACCACTCTTACCTATCCGTTAAGATTCAAATTCAAGTTCTATGTTCCAAAGACTCCCCAAACAATCCACTCTATTCTGAATCCCTTATTTGCTCTGCCACAACACAAACGAATATTTCACTTATTCCAGCACTTAACAGTATAAACTAAATGAGTAATTTTCAAAATATCTATAGTAGCAGATCCATGTAAGTTCTGGAAAAGTTATATATCTCTGGTGATAGTCTCTGCTCAAAATATTGTGAATACCTCTTCTGGAACTCCTCCAAAGCCAGTTTATCAGACAGTGCCATAAATATCATATGATAGTCACATTTCACTTCTAAGGTCACCTGACCACCACCAATGAAAACATTCATACCTGTCCCTGACTCTGCTTTTTGGGCATTTTCAAAAATCAAATTTACCCTTAAATAAGACAAAAACTTACCACCAAGTTAATATCAGAATTATGTCTGAAGAAATGGCAACATCACTGGAATAGATGGGTTTTAAGTTGCTTTACCCCTATGCTCTATATTAAACTAATAACAGCAGCTACTATTTACTGGGTATTCATTATGTTGCAGGCACTTCATATGTACTACATCTTTAAAAATTCTTTTTTTTTTTTT